GTACTGATGTGAAGGCAGCAGGAAGCTTAACATAAAGGCAAATAAAGTCCAAACTATGTAAGTTCCTGTGGGTTCAGTCACAGTCTAAAATATTGACAAACACCCATTTCAAATCTTTTTGATGCACAAAAATACTTCACATTGAAACAATGCACAGAATATGAGGATTTGAAAATCAAAACTCCAAATTTCTAAACAGCATCAGGCCTCGTGCCTGATGTGTAAACCTCCACAGAAAACTGTTTCACCTTTTCTCCTTTCACCACCACTGATTTACAAAATGTGTCCAGTTTTTCATTTGCACTTGAAGTAAAGAAGAACAACTTTATGCTCACACTTGGTGGCACCAAAGAGCTTTAAAGGAATGAGGCTCTGCACTGTTTTGTTTTACTGCACATAAAAACAGGGCAAGACACAGAGCTTGGCTCTTAGTTTGAGAAAATTCATTCTTAAGCAAACTTCCCATATCTGGGCTTGTATGAATCAGTCAGCTAAAAATAAAAATGTTGGGCTTAAGTGAACGATAAAAGTTAAAAGCCTTCACTTTTATTCACAAACTTAATATGATAAAACTAATTACCAAACATCTTTTGAACGGACTATAGGCCACTTGGCAGTACTGTATATGACTTTATCTACTCGTCTGGTTTCCTGGTCTTTCAGCTCTTGAAAGAAAACTGCTGAGTCATATCTGCGAAGATGGAGAGAGACATTTGTTCAGCCAAATCCCGAGCTCCAGACTTCCTCCGGGAATCCCTGAAGTCTCCAGTAATACTCAGGAACCCCTCTACAAGACAGACACAGACACACCCACCTTCACTGGAGACTTCAGGAAACTTCACAGAGTGGTGAGAAGATCAAATGAGTACTCTTTCTACTTGTCTGGCTGTGGTAAAACTGTTGTGATACAGTTTTAATACTTTATTTTAAACTACTAAATATGTTGCTATGAAATCTGCTGCACACATCCATGGTCCCCAGAGGATGAACTGCAAAAACTTTGATCATCTAACTTTTCACCATCATCAGATAGAAGTGTAAAATCTGTCCAGTTCTTTGGTTTATAGAAGAATACCTGCAATACTAATTCTCATCAGCCTCAGCTACACCCTGTGTAGTGCTACTTAGTAAATAAAGGTACAGCAGACTAAAGCCTTCTCTTCTGTGTTACAGCCCGGCCCTCCAGCCTTTCACCTTGACATCCCCTCACAGAGACCCGAGACAGATGTCAGAACCTCCACAGAAACTCAGGGATTTCCATTTTTTGACAGGGAGTCTTTCAGACCGGTATCAGAGTTCCTCCCTGAGCTGGAGATGAAGAACTCCACACATCACATGGTGATGACCAGACCCACCGGGCCAGCCAGTCCCACTCTGAAAGCTCCACCTGAGGAGAAGATGCCACCGCCGTCTCCAGCCACTCCTCCACTGCTGCCCTCTGACACTTATACATCAGGTAAATGCTGAGAGAACAGTCTGTAGGACAGAGAAATGACTCGTTTAAATGGTCAGACTATCATGGGAATTATGGGAAAACTGAGCTGCCTTAGCTGAGGTTTGTGCTCTCTGAATGCTGTCTAGTTAACACTTTTTATCTTGTTTGTGTGATCTGTACAAATACGATGATCTAAAAACAGCATGTTGCTGCCAACAAGCGCATACTTAAGAAAGTCTCATATAACCACAGGCAAGAAAACAAAAACACTATTACTGTTAGAATATCTCCTAAAATGCTTAGGGATTCCTTAAAATCTGTTTACAATCCGTTTACAAGAATTCAACAATCGGATACAGTAGGTCACAGACAGCAATAATAATACATTTTATTTATACAGCACTTTTAAAGATACTCTGAATGTTACGATTAAAGCCTTGTAACAACATTATAAACATATTCTAAAATGAAGTTTAAAGATGTGACTATAAACATCAAAACAAAATACTAAACCAACTATTTTCAGCAATAACAGATAAAATGTTTTAATGATATATATGAATTACCACACAGTTGTTTTCTGTTGAGGATTAAACAGGCCTGCTCACTGTCACTGGTTTTCTCCAGCGGAGCACTGCAGCCAGACCCTGGATCCAGGACCATGTCGGTACTACGTGGTGAAGTGGTACTACGATGCCATGGCTAATTCCTGTGCTCAGTTCTGGTTTGGAGGCTGTTTAGGAAACAGCAACCAGTTTGAGACTGAGAAGAGCTGCAGAGAAACCTGCGTCAAGGTCTAACATATGCAAAGTCACGATGATACACCCTTGTAAACGCTCATAAAACATTTGGATCTGACCTCACATGCGGCTTTGCCTTCAGTGCCTCATCATTAACACCAATTTAACCTACAGTGGAGTTTTAGATTTTTAATTGCTCAGTTTTATTAAATGTTTTGTTGTTGTGTGTTAATATTGTGAACCAACTGAAGCTAATGCAGAGAAAAAGATCTCTGCACTGTTACACACTGCTGAGCAGGTCTGCTAAAAAAAAATTTAAAAACTTGTGTATCTACTAACCTTTCTTTCTATTCAGAAAACATTTTTTTTTTAATAATGCATTTTTTTTTTTTTTTTACTTACTACCTTAGGTTTTATGTGTTATGTCAATAAAGATAAAACCAAAGCAAATTCTAGAGTACTAGAGGTTGAATTCCCTTTTGGTGTGTTGCTTTGGACCAAGGCGTCTCCTGAATGTAGCGTAGCTATTGCACTGTGTCCATATGCACAGAAAATGAACACACTCTAAGCATTTCAAAAGAGGAAATAGCTGGTGTGGTGCACAACAGCGATTTAAACCTCCTGGTAATTGTTTTGGTCATCTTTGCTAAACAAAATTGCATACAAGACATACTGTATTTTTGTTCTGGAGGAGTCACAACAGGATGATGACTCACTGCAAAGATTCAAGTCGGATATAATTATGTATAATTAGTGAGGAGAGGCTACTCTCACAACAATGCATCTTCAGCTTAAGGCATAAACAGCGTATGCTTCCAGTTGACTTCTGGGTAACAAAAATGCAAACGGCCAGTCGTGCAGGACTAGGGTGGCAGGTGATCATTTTCATAAGCATTGCCGTCAGCGCCTGATGGTAACCTCCTCTGAATGCAAGTAAATGAAATAATAGAAAGAGTCACAGAAAACCGTAGGAAAATAAAATTTAATCTTTGACATCAATGATTGAGATCAACATCCACAGGTTTACACAGCAACATCACTTGAAGAAGACAAGAAAAGAAGACATGATGATGTAGCCCGGCTGTTGAGACGGATTAGGATCCCGGCCCTCGAACAACCCAAAGTAGATGATAGTATTGTTTTCAAATCTGCTCATGTCCAGCTGTAAATGAATAAAGAAACAATGTGTTAATCTCAGAGAAAACAACATCACAAAGTGCAGACAATACACATAGGCACATATTATTCAGGTGTTCTTCAAAACTACAAATAATCAACCCCGACACTTAAAAAAAAAAAACCCTTTCCTTTTCTTTTTATTTCTACTTCTTTGCTCTATTGTAATCATACTTGAATAGCAAAGTGCATTTTAACTCCATAGAATGTAATCTGCACTTTCACAAATCTAAACTACACCTTAAGTTGATTTAAGACATTGTTACAAATTCCATAAAATTTCCAAAAAGCAAGTATTATTATAGAAACTGTGGAAAGCAAAAGGTGATAAATGCAAATACACTGTGAAATAGAACCAGAAAAACAAGAGAAGTCATGCTAATATTTAACAATTAGCTCCAAAAATATCCTGCACACCTTAAAGCCTTAGCTACAGATGTGTGGGATCAAAAACCTGGAATATGAGAACAAAAGGCAAAATAATATTTAAAAAATTGAAATTTGAAATTGAAGTGCAAGTGATGGACAGTTCACGGGATTTTTGCCTTTAAAGAAACAGGACAATTAATTATCATCCTTTACTTGTTTATTAAATGTCGATTGCTCATCCATGATATACATGAGGAGGAGATGAAGGATGTTTTTACTTTCCAAAGTGAAAGGTGAAAGAACATGTGCTTTTTTTAACAGTTACAATCTTGAGGAAATCTGACCTGGGCTGTGCTGAGAACATGAGAGCGCTACATAGAGCTGAGGGGAGCCACTGACAGTCAGTGGTGATTCTCTGTTGGTCCATCATGATGAATGTAACATTTCACTTTACACGTAATCATTTAAAAATAATAACTGATGCAACTATTGCATTTCACATAATAAAGTTTGAGACTGATAAAAAGACTGAACAGGACATACCTGCTTGGTGATGTCAGTCCTCCAGGGGCTGACCTGCAGTCCGTCACACCAGCCTCCTCGCCCATACAGCCATGTGCCGTGTTCGTTGGGCACAGCTCCCTCTCTCACCCGCATGGTACAGCCCAGCGCTGTTCCTGATGGTTCCCCAGCAAAAACATAAAAAATATGACACTTTAATCAGTGGCTCAACGTCCAGTCCTCGGGCCAATGAATATGTTCATTGATAAAAAAACTGAACTGACAAAACCTCAACCATTTAAGTCAATTATTAAGGAAAAACACAAACAACTGGCTGGTTCCAGCTTCTCAAATATGAGGATATCTCATAGAATGTCTTTTGGGTTTTGGACTCTGGGTCAGACAAAACAAGATAACAAATTGCCTTTAATAAACAAAAAAACAACTGATTAATTAAAAACACACAACAGACATGATCATCAACATGTGGACAAAGTGACTGCTAAGTGGCACTTAGCACTCTTGTCATGAAAACGTTTAAAAAGCTGGTGAAGAATGCACTTTTAGGTGTTGTACAGGATAAGTTTGCTTACAAGTCAGGTAGAGGTGTGGATGGTGGACAGGGGTGCTTTTAAACATGGCTCTTACATATCTTGAGGGGGCCCAAGTCCCTCGCCTGTCTACTTTTTATTGACTTCTCCTCTGCTTTTAACTGCATCCAGCCCCACGTTTTAGCAGACAGGCTGAAGAGTATTCATAACACTGATGCTGGCTTAATTTGCTGGCTGACGGACTTTTTAACAGTCACAGCAGGTGAGGGTGAATGGTGTTTTATCAGAAGTCCTTTTCCCCTCTACAGGATTTCCCCCCCGCCTGTTGGGAGTAATTTTATTGGTTGGTGCAAATCATCTTTTTTAAACATTAACGCAGCAAAAACAAAAGAGATGTGTGTTGATTTTAGTAAAAAAATCCCATCTCTTCTCTTCTATATAAAAAAAATCAGGAAACCTGATCAATCTCAGCTGATCCATGCCATGCCCTGCAGGGTGAATTTATGTTGCTACCATCAGGGGGCAGATACGATGCAGAACGAACAGGTTCAGAAGATCATTTGCTCCTGTTGCCATCAGTCTTCTTAATGACACTTGAAATGAGAGTCTGTGTCTGGTATTGTTGTTGCTGACTATGAGTCAAATTGCCCCCACGGGATAATAAAGATACCTTGAACCTTAGACAAAAACATTGTACTGACATATTTCATGATTAAAACCAAGTTTAATCATGAACATTTTTGGTGCCACACACATGTACTATTAATTTTCTAAACATTTTTGATCAGCTACGATTTTCGCCATATTAAACTTACTCTCAGGGTCCAACAAAATTTGACCTCGAAAACTTGAACATTCATTTTTGATTTTGCAAGAAAGGCAGCTGATGTAACTATCTTACCTAAACGTCTATTTAATAGCTGCAGTATTATCCACTACAGTGACTGTTCCTGAAAAAGTGTACTTTCCTCACCTGCAGAGTCAAATACGAGGGTGTTGTTGAACATAGCATTGATCAGGAAGTGGTGGGAGGTTACACAAAACTCTCCACAGCCATTCTCATCACTGCCATGCCCTGTGATAACAGCGAACAGCTCCACCTGTAAACAGACACACAGTCGCTCAGACGCTGCACCAACAGGAAGGACTGCAAAAGTTTGGTGACCAGTGGGACTCCGTTACCTTTTTGGTTGATGCTGGGATGGAGAATTTGATTGGCTGGTATTGCTTGTTGTAGTTTTTGTCAAAGGTCCCCCCGCTGTACAGTGACATCACTTTGAAGGGGTGGAGCTTCTCCACATGATCACCTGTGACAGAGAAAACTTTGTAGCAAATGAAAATGTTCATGTAGCCTGGCAGTAACTAGACAACATGCAACACTGTAGTATCACATGTAACATCCTGACAAACTGTAAATAGAAAAACAATCAAGCACTGAAATAGAGCTGAAACTATTCAATGTTTGATTGACTGACTACTGACTACATGATTAGTAACATTTTCATCCCATATCATGGCTCATTTTGTGACTTTTGAGAAGCTTTTGTTTTGCAGATAAATTACTGCATAATCAGCTGCAGATGAAAAAGAAAAGGTTTCTATAATGTAACTGTACTTCCTGCTTAGTACACCCCAAAACAGGGTTCCATCTTTTCCACCTGCAGAGCAAAGGTAGCTTCAGTATTATTACACTTTTTACCTGTCTGGTTATTGACACTGAATCTTAGGTTGAGCGACGCAATCCAGGGCATCGCCCAGGGCACCGTCTTCATGGTGAAGGTGCACTGGCTGCTGTCCAACAGAGGGATGAGGGGGGACACATCTGTAAGCCAGCGCCCAGTACCTCTGCCAAAAATACATATAAACATATATCAGCTGAAATAAAGGATGCAGCTTAAGTTACAAGAAGTTTTAATACTACTTGGAATAACGGCTGTGTACGCATGATTTAAGACAAACCTATCACACATGCACAACAAAATCCTCTAATTTTCAGTCTCTTTTTCTTTTCAACACAAACATTCACCATATAACAATGTCTCAGACCCTTTTAAAAAAGTTTCTAAAGCCTTAAATTTTGACTGGTGAGATTTTAAGAAGACCCACAGAAGGCATACATACATGTGATTATTTCAAAAAACTGTAGATTTATTAATAAAAACAGCCATTATCATCTTGAGCTTTTGTGTCAAGTGCCTGCCTGCGGAAGGCGGTGATCCATCGGCCTAGCTCCATGTTGCAGTATGGACTGAGGTGATTGCAGCAGACAAACAGCTGCACCGTGTGATCCCACTGAGCACAGGAAGAGTCTCGCCTCCCAGGACACGACAGGGATGCATCCAGCTCCAGCGTGTCTCCGTCCGATATGCCTCCAGATGCACATAAAATATCAATGTTAGTATTGTTAAAATGCTTAGCACGTCTTCTTTCCCCCTCATGCTGCAGGAAGCATTCAAAGTGATGCTCTCATGCAACACTGTCATACCTCACCATGCTAGTGTTGGTTTGCAACAGGATGAGCTGTTTTTGGTGGTCTCTAAAGGACGCGTTGGATCCAGTGCCCAATAAAATCAGTTATGTTGTCATCTGTTTGCCAGTTCTCTCACACTACAGCTAGACTGAAAAGTGTCTAGAAACGGTGATAAACTTTCTTTTTATATTTACAGTTTCCCTGCTTTTAAACACAATGGGGCAACTTAGCCTCAGTCCCCAAAACAATTCAATTAAGCTTGGTGTGGGTGGAGAGTTTAGTGTCACATGACCGTCTAACATCATTTTCGGGGGTTTCCATCGACACCTTAATACAATAACAATAATAATCTTAGAATACTTCTCACTTTTGGTATGAATTTGCCACCAAGTACAAATTACTGAATGAATGGCACAAAACACTGACATTTAAACCCTACATCTCCAACATACTGTTGATGAACTTACCTAAAGGCAGGCTGACTGTAGCCACTGCTCCTTTCTTGCCCTGCATTAGGACGTGGTCAAAAACAGAAACAACCTTTGCAGGATTATGAAGTTTGATCTGCAGATCTGCATAAAAATCAAACCTGGAACAAAGCAACAAAGTCACTGATGGGTTCCAAAAAGTACTTCTCACAAAAAACTGTTGCAATGCCTCTGTGGACAGGTTATTATGGTGAGTTTATCCACCAAATTTAAATCGTCAAAACTGATTTCTGTCAAGCACAGCATGTCTACATTTTAAACTGCGAAAACCTGGAAGAATCTGATGAGATAAGGTTCAGAGATTTCGGGATTTCTTTCAAGAAATTAAAAGTAAAATGAATGCTGCAATCCTGAAACTATTTGTGATCATTGCTTGTAGTTTTTTTTTTTATTTATTTATTTTTATTTCATGTGCTTTTTCACTTCTTCTTTCACACTCTCCTGGAGTTCCCCTCACACTCTCCAGGAGTTCCCCTCACCACTACCTGAAGTGCCAGTCCTATCACTGTACTACTAATATTAAGTGACATTTTTACATGGCCTTGTTTCCAGAGCATGATTTGTTCAGTTGTTACTTTCTGTACATAACCCATAACAAGTGAAACATAGAGACAGAAAACAATTCACACCTACAGGAATCTTAGAGTCACCAGTCAACCTAACCTGCATTTCTGTGAGAGGAAGCTGGAGTACCAGTAGGAGACCCGTGCAGGCACGGGAACAACATCCAAACTCCACACAGCAAGGCCCTGGTCACGCAAGAGGCTCAAACCCACAACCCAGAATAAAATTTGTTTGGATAAAACTATGATTCTTCCAGTTAGAGAATCAGAGTCAGCAGAATGTGACTTTCATGTTTGTTCCTACCACTGAGCCTGCCAGCTGATGAAGCTGAAGGAGGGGTAAAGGAACCAGCCCATCTCAGCCAGAACACCCTGCTGGTCAATACTGATGAAGAAGTTTGGGGACGGAGTGGTCTGGAAGGACACGTTAACCTTCTGTCCAAACCTACAGAAAAAATTAAAAACCATCATGAGACAATGAACGTTTGGAAAAAAAATTTATACATTAAAAATTAAAAACAAATTACAGTGTTTTATTTGCCTTAAATAATTAATTACAATAAAAAAATGATCACACTCTGTTTTTAAGAGACCCTAAGGGAGAACACCAGCCTTCTGAGAATCACTATTTTAACCATTTAAAATAATAATAATTAATCTGCGTACAAGGAAACTGAGCATCAGCAGGTTCTTAATCCTTCAGGTGAGCTGGTCTTACCGGAGAGCCTGGGCAACCAAAGGCTCCAGGTGCACCATGGCAGCTGGGATGCCCAAAGAGGAGTAACATTCATCCCCAACACAGTTCATGTCCTGGATCGGGTTACCGGGGGGGGCATAGACAAGGACACCGGAGGCATTGGATTTGGCCATGCTCTGCACCTGGAGGGAGACACAGCAAAACTAAATCTAGCGTTCTACAAAAGAGTGACCAGCATCATTTCACATTTCAGCTACACAGGGTAACAAGCAGCACTGTTAAATTCTAAAAACCAACAGCAATTTTTTTTTATTTCTTGCTAAAATCAGCATATAATCACATCTTAACCAGATATTTAGCTGGCTTACTCGTGCTTTTATCAACAGACTCTTGGTTACGGTTCCAATTGGTGTACAGTACAGTCCTTTATATTTCACTCTGATGGACAATGTGAGGCCTTTGACCAAGGTGCAACAATCATAAAGGTTTGTCAAACGTTTACACACTTTTATACTTAGTTCCAAATGTACATGCTTGGAAACAAATTAGCAAAAATAGGTATTGTTTGGTTTGATTATCCATTTGTGGGTGTGTTATTGAGATGGGAACTGTCCTACAGTAGCTGGATATTATTTTGTTAAACACCAAGGACATCATCAGACAGGGACATTTTCAGGGTCATACACACACCTTAGTGAAGAAAGAGCAGCTGCCCTCAGACACCCAGGCCACAGCACCCTCCACCGAGAGGGAGGGATCACACCCATCTCCTGCATCAATCAGCTGATATGACTTCGGACCCCAGCGTCCCATGAGCCAGTCATATCTGGCATCAAGCCTCTTGACTATCACAGGCATGTTCCACCCTGAGGGGAGAAAAAGGAAAATGATGAAAGAAAACAACAGAGCACTTTCCTGTTGCTAATGAAGCTTTAATATTACTGACTGTACTTTTTGGAAGCAGTGTTAATTTGCAAGTTCTGAAAGGAGAGCACTGGATATGGGCTCAAATACAGAGAGCTCATACACCTGCAACTTCCTGTTTCATAGACCGTTTCTCTAAAGAGATGCAGGCATGTAAATAATCACTCAGTCACAAGGCCCAAGAAACTCTTACCCTCTGAGGTGAAAACAGCCTGACTGAGGCCACAGTTGCGTCCCATGCAGCCCCAGTAGTAGAGCACGTTGGGGATCCAGTTACCCAGAGCGAAGACTGGCACAGGAGAGAAGTGCAGCCTGGACAGAACCTCCTTCTTTCTGCAGAAACATGTTCAACACAGGAAGTCAAAGTCATGACAGCACAGACGTGTTATGAAGCATTTTGCTCACATTGTATGCTGATGATCCAGTACTGTTGCTTATCTATTATTTTGAGCACTGTAATTGGGCATTTACAGAGCTTGAAATCTGCCTCTCAGATATAATGGTATCTGTATACTGTATGTCGGCCAATAAGTACCAAGAAATTGCCAGACAGAAATGCTGAAAACATGACTGAGGTCATTTGTACAGTCTCGCCTCAACCTTATTTGTCTACCAGACAGCACTGACAAGTTCAGTTTTTATATTGCATATCAAATATCAATATCAGTTTCAGCCTCATTAACACTTGGACTCTAACTGAGACTCTGAGGACACATACTCACTTACAGTACATAATCCATTAAAGCTTGACAGGAGATGCCTTTCATATCCCTGTCAGCATGGTTCAACTTGTGATTGTGCTTCCTCTTTCTCATTGTTGTTTCCTGGATTGTTGTCATGGTTTATGAGATTCTTCCCCTTTGCCTGTATTAAGTCATTTTAAAGTTGCGTTGTTTTTTTTGTTTGTTTGTTTGTTTGTTTGTTTGTTTTTTAATCAATGCTTCTGCAAATTTGGCAAAATTATTAAAATTGCTTCCAATTAATTTTTCGCCAATCCACTAATCATTTAAATCAGCTCATGAGTACCTGTGGGGTTCTGGGTGCCTGCAAACTGTAAAAGACCTGCATTCAAAATGTTACTTAGCCTACTGAAGAAAAAACACAAAGGTATTAGTGTCACAATACGCTTAAAATCCCACAAAGAAAAGAAGAAATTATGTAGAATGGCACATTTCATATTAATGTGTATTTTTGGATTATAAATACTGATGTATTATTGTGTTCACCATTTTAATGTTGCAGCTGGTAAAGGTGATGCTATAGTAGCTTGTGAACTTCAGACAGGGGATCAATAAAATTGTATGATTACACTGTACTTTATTTTATTAAACTGGCTCTAAAAAGGAACTCAAGTTCACAAATGCCTAAAAAGTCAAATATTTGCCTCTGAAATGTAGTGAAGTCCAAGTATGAAGTAGAAGTACAGATAGCTCAAAATTGTACTGTTCTTGAGTAAATGTACTTCGTTTATTTCCAACACTTTTTACTTGTAGGCTAATGGAGTATTTTTACACTGCTATACTGCTATTCTTTCTTAAGTAAATGATATGAATACTTCTTCCGCTAGTACAGATGAAACTGCAGCAGATATATTACATCTTGCTGAAGTTTTTTGAGTCACGTTTCGCCAATGGACTTGATCTCAGCCCGAACACCTCGCCCTAAAGCAGGGTCCCTCCTACGGTCACCTGTGCATGGCGACCCGCTGCACCTGGTCCTGCATCCAGAGAGCATCGCTGACTGCAGAGTCGTCCAGGGACAGAAAGAGCACCTGTGTACTGTTCGGCAGGTCCTGAACCAGGCTGGTCAGGGACGACTCTGAGCTCCACAGGCACTCCAGGAAGGCGGACTTGTTGGTGAAGGCGTGAATGACCAGAGACCCCCGCACAGCTCCGGGTTGGTAGGAAAACTCCCCATCCAGAGTCGGGACTCTGAACGCGTCCGCGAGGTCTCCCGGCTCGGGCCCGGGGGCTGTGTGTGGACTGGAGGTTTGTCTGGATCTCAAACTGGAGTGAAGCTGGAGTCCCAGGTCCCAGACCTGTTCCTCATCCTCGGTCAGTTTAACTCGCTGCGTCAGTCTACCTGTGGCTTCAGTCACACGAACTGTCACAACAACGAGAAACCACAACAGCAAGGACTTTGAACGCAATAAAAAACACATTTTCCTGGTTACAGTGAGTGACCGTAAACTGACCACGATCAGCAAAACACCAGCATGTCTTTAAGAGTTTGTACTGAGCTAAAGGATCACAAAGTGTGAGAAAAAGCGTTTCCTTCCCCTTCCTAAATTCGCCCCATACTTGAGTTTAAGGCGGGTCGTGTTGCTGTATACGGGTACCCTGCGGGGACAGAAAAGCTTAAAGGCATGGTCATTGCTTGATAGCGCGAAAAGGTCATTTCCTCCTACTCACCACCAGTCATACAGACCTAATGCTTGGATGAGAGGTGAAGCATCTTCTACCTAAAACTGCGCCCAGATGCCGTTGTCTTAGTTTTTCAACTTTCTATTTGTTGCCACACTGATTAGAATTATACATATTTGGGACAAAAAAAAAAGACCTTTGACGTCATCAGCACATAGGCAGAAAACCCACTTGCGGGGCCTTGAGCACAAATTATTGGTTGGGCCCCTACTGATCCCCACCAACCTGTACATGGCAGTTTCATTATTTCCTTGGACCCCTAAAAACCAACCAGAAGCACACACCACAGCTGAAATAGGCTAGTACATACAGTGGGTACGGAAAGTATTCAGACTCCCTTAAATTTTTCCCTCTGTTATATTGCAGCCATATGCTAAAATCATTTAAGTTCATTTTTTTCCTCATTAATGTACACACAGCACCCCATATTGACAGAAAAACACAGAATTTGACATTTTGGCAGATTTATTAAAAAGAAAAACTGAAATATCACATGATCATAAGTATTCAGCCCCTTTGCTCAGTATTTAGTAGAAGCACCCTTTTGAGCTAATACAGCCATGAGTCTTTTTGGGA